CTTCATCACAACAATTACAAGATTTACAGTTAATTGAAGTTAATTTGTTACCCATTTTCTTTTTTCTTTTTTATTAAAAAATAGTTTCCACTGTTTATATAATTATAGTTTTTATTTATAATAAAAATTTATTGCCTATTATAATAATTCCCGTATATTTTTTGTATATGTACCTATTTTATATAATTTTTATTATGTTTACACTTTTATATTATTTTTTCAATACTAAAAGCTTGAAAATAATTGTATGAACGTAGACGTTTGGTACATACATATTTTGTTTAATTATTATGATCACTTAAAATAATTTTTATTAATTTTTTTTTTAAATTTTTCCGATATTTTTTTTAATTATTACTAATAAGCTCATAAATTCTTTATATTAAAATGTAAACATAAAACATATGTGCTTGCTATATAGACCACATTATTAATTTTTTTCCCCCAATGTAAATAACGTAAGTATCTGTATAGATATTTCAAAAATATTCATAAAACTTTTTAATAACAAAATGGTTAATAATATATAAATATTCTTTTAAAATTGAATAAGAATGAATTAAAAATTTAAGAAAAAAATAAAAGTAAATATAAACAATGTGCGTAATATATGTACGTATGTGCATAATGTATACATATATGTATGGTAGGTAATCGTAAATCGCGTATACCATGCAGACGTTGTCAAACTGGTTTTGTATTTTTTAGTAGTGTAGTAGGTTTTTTTGGTTTTGTTTTTTCTTAAATTTTTTCTTTTTAAAATTCGTACTTCGTAGTGTCCCGCATTCTCTCAAGGTGATATCATATATTGTATAATGTAATATTATTATATGTATTGCAAAATATACAGTTAAAAATATTTCGAAAAGAAAAAGTTCATCAGTAATAAATTTATGCAATTTTATAAAAAATCGTATATCTAGATAATTTAAAGAACTTTAAAAATGATGACTAAAAATTAAGTAATTAAAAATATTTTATATCTTTTTGTAAATATGTTAGTTGAATATCTTATCAACTTTGATTATATTTCTAACATGTACAAACAATTTACATTTCCTAGGTACACATGCATGCTCAAACAATTTATGTTTGATCATACACATTATCTTATATCAAGCAAAGTCCCGTTTATGTAATTTTTTACAGTAAAATTTTTGATAAGTAAAAAATTTCATTGATTTCTCTTAATTAATAATGTCATTGAAGAAAATTTTTAATTACAATATACTATTATAACTCAATTAATGTCACTTATTAAAATTTGTAATTTCATTATTATTATAATTTTTAATCAATTAGACTATACATACATATTAAATTTTGCCTCCCTAGAATATTTGATTAATAATAATAATTGTTTAATTACTGTTAGAAATAGGCAAATTATTTCTTATTAATTGGGCGAAGGAAACTATAAAAAATTATGGAACGTAGCTATGTGCATTTGTTTGATTTATTTTTAAAATTAATAATCTTTATAATAATTAATTTTTGCAATTGTTTCATTAGAATACTATATAACATATTACTATAATTTTAATTTACCATAATAATTTGCTATAATTTAATTTTAGTTCAAGAATATTAAAAGCAATTAATATTGGAAATATTATATAGAAATATTTAACAATATTATAATTATATATTGTACATATGTATATAAATTATTTTAATTTTTAAAATATATAAGTCTTTGAAAAATAAAACTAATAACCAAAATTGATTAGCTAGTAAATATGAAATGGAGCGTGTAATTTTTTTTTTTTGCAAATTTTCACAATGTTATTCTGATTTATTAAAACCATGACATATTATTCTTAAATATAACTATGTACACATATCTCGTGTAAACATTAATATTGCATTAAATTAATAAATATTAACATAGGTGTATACCTTTTGAAATTATAATAAATACTAACAGTATTTTAAAGCTTTATAACGTTGATTTTTTTAGGAACTGTTGAAAATTTTTTTCCTTATTATCTAAGTATTTATATTAATTACTTAAGTATATAATTTATATTTATATATCAAAATATATTTAATAGTTAATATTTTTATATACTAACATTCTATTTAAATTCTATAATGTTGTACATAACATCAGTTGAATAAAAATTCAAATTTGTAAAAAATCGAAAGGGAAAGTTAATGCACATTACAATTTTATATCAATTATCATTTCCAACTCGATTTAAAGACAATATGACATTAAGTAAACGGGCTTTATTATAGTACTCGTATCATAGGCAAGGTGACTACGAACACGGGTAGATTTTAAATTATATTAATTAAAGACAAATTAAAAATAAATGCTTTTAATGCCTACATACCCACAATATTAAAATATAAAATTGGCAATTTACTTAGAAAATCTTATTGGAAATCTAATTTAAATTTGAACTTTCTTATTAAATTTATGAATTAAATACATTCATAATTAAATTAAATTCAATTTATTAACTTATAATAATTTCACTTTTTTTTTCGTTTACTAAACTTTTCTAGACGGACATACATACATAATATGTTATTTAATTGAAATCAATTTTAATAAAAATATTCTACCATTAGACTTATTAGAATCGTAAATTCAATTATAATTTGTAAAAAAAAACCTTTCACATAAAACAAAATTATCATACTTATACGGCGTATTCAAATATAAAAAAAATTTTTAATTTTTGATCCGACCTTTTTCTTTTCCACTTTGTTTTCAAACTGAATATCAAGAAAAATCATTGATTCTATATTTGAGTGAATTTCAAAGAATCAGTAATACAGAAGTAGTTAAGAGAGAAAAAAAAAACAACGAGTAAATAAAAAAATAAAAAGAAAAATTGAAAATACTATTTGTAAAATATTTTTCAAATATAAATATTTTGTATCTGTTTTTGTTTTTTTCTTTCATACTAGACATTTACTTATTTTGGTATTCTTTCAAATATTATAATATGATTGTATATATATATATATAATATAATACATAATTTCTTATAATATATAATATATTTCAGACATACTATTATATAATATACCTACACTGTATATCTACATGATCGTCTAAGAAAAAAAAATTTAACTTTAAATTTTAAATTCAACACTATAGTTAAAGCTTTTAAATTTTACATCTTGATTTTCCACTTATACTTAAATGCCTCTATATACAATATGCAATATATAAATTATAACAAGTATAATTATTGTATATTAAATAGTAATTCAATAAATAATATTTTTGCACAGTTATATTAAGTTGTAAAAAAATTAAGCTGTAGTAGCTAGTAGAACTAAGCTATAATAAAATTTTTTTTTTCATTTTAAACTTGGACTGCTTACGAGGTGCTCTCAGGTACGATTGTATTTTGTGTATATAATATAATAATAATAATTTAGGTATGAATACTTAAAAAGATATATGCCCAAAACCTTATGTAGAAATAATTTGTTTGTACTGTCATATGTACTGTTTGAATCAAATACGTTATTTGATGGCCAAAAGCATGAAACACCATTTTTATATAGTTTATGATGCCTAAATAATAGAATTCATCATGTCTTCATAATGTCTAAATTTTTGTTGAAGTAATTATATTATACATACTATATTATATTTAATATAATTTATATTTCACTAAACTTTAAATTTGAACTACTAAGCATCCCTAAAAATAACTCTAGTACCCAGATAATTATATAAGAAAAATGGCTTGCAAATTGTGTAGTATACATACTCGTAACTACTCATATATTTTTATTTATCGTAACTCGTCATGGTATTTAATATGTTAACTTACCTAGTGAGTGTGAATAATTATTAAATTCTTTGATTATTTTTACCGTGAAAAACTATACAAAATTGCTGTTATTGAAAAATTTCAGTGAATTCTATAATATATGAAACAACAAAAATATTTCAGTTCGACATAATTTGGCATATACGGATAAATAATTGAATAAACTTCATATCTTTATAAAATTCCTCTATTTGGTATTCATCTTAAAAGAAGCAGAAGAACAGGTGAAGTATTTCTTTTTTCAATTTTAATCTTTTACTACTTTGAAAACGTTGCTTCCTATGATTTTTTGTATTAAATAAACATTTTAATTTTTGTTTTTTACATTTTATTTTAAGATAAGCAATAAATTGAAAATTCCTGATAACATTATATAAAAATCGAAAATATATTATTGTTCCAATATATTTTTCACTAATTTTTTTGACCTTGTAAGAAATTTTAGAGGTTTACAATCAAGAACTAATTAGTTATTTGAAAAAAGCAGAAAAATATTTTCAAAAAATTTTGAAATTCTTTTGTATTGATTATTGTTTGAATAATAGTTTCTTAATTTAAGGCATAAAAAACAAAAGTATTAAACAAATAACACACCTATAATAAAACTTTTTATTATCTTTGATACAACAGTTTTAAAACAACAACGTTTCCTAATTTGTTTAACTTAGCAAACACAATATTTTTAAGATGATTAAATTAGTATCAAAATACAACAATAAAAAATTTAAAATAAATAAGGATTATTTCAAATATAGTTGTTATAAATAATTTTTAAAATTTTCATCTTAAAAGAATCTTACTGAATTTGCTCTTTGCTTTAATTTAAATTTTTCAATTCTAACACGTACCACACACTTCTCAATGATGACAAAACAAAAAAAATTCAGGAGCTTGGAATTTGTACGTTTTTAATAGAACAAACTATTGACACTGTAATTATATAAAAATCATTAATTAATACATATTATATTGATTTTAAAAAAAGATAATATATTTTTTTTAACAGTATACATAAATTCTAAGTAAATATATAATATCATTAAAAATAACATTCGAATTTAATATTTTTTTTTTCCTTACATACTAAATTTTGCACTAAGCAATCAATTGACTAAATTTATTTTTGTAATTATCAATTGGTAATTTATTAATATACTTTTTTCGAAATTTCAAATTGAATTTAATAAATATAATTTTGTTTTCAAAACCGCTTCACTCTTTATTACAAAAGATTTTTTAAAATTTTTTATTACACTTTAAAATTGATGTTTGTTTAATAAATAAAACAAATTTGTTTAATTTCTAGTCAATATTTTTTTTGCAATTATCTTAAAAATAAACATATAAAGAATGCATTAAATAAAAAAAATGTGATATAAAACGAAACCAAAAATACAATGTTTAAAAATGAAAATACAACTACCAGTTAAAAAAAAAATCAGTTTCACGTATAATTTCTCCTGTACTTAATAAAATTTAAAGTAAAGGTATAAGGTGTAAAAATAAATTTTACTTTTGATTGACATTTTAAAATAGTTAAAAATAATATCGTAAAGATAAAAAAATTATCTGAGTTAATTAAAAAAAAAGTTTTTGCCACTTTAATAATAGTCTTATACTAAAACAAACGTTTGATTATAACAAACATACATATATATACCTAATAAAAAAATTAAACAAAAATCTAAAATATGAACAATATGGGAGTAAATAATGTTTAATAAATTAAATTGTTTCAGTTCTCGGATCTAATGAATGTAAAGCTTGTGTAAGACTCGGTCCATTTGTAACTTGTATACCTTTTTTTGACATATCATTTAAACGTTCCGTAATTAGTTTTTTGTCTCGACCCCTTTGCCACCTAAAAGAAAATATGCATTATATAATTAAATATAAAAAATTTATAAGAAAATGTTCTTATTCCAATATTTTCTTCCTTTATATGCTATAAATTTCCCATTTTATGAATTTTAGTGCAAAATTGAAATTCATAATTTCCAAATAAACAATTATTTAACTATATATTACGTATGTACATTTTTATACATAAGATTTGAATTAAGAAAATTAAAAAAAGCTTTAGACAGAAAATAATAGAAGTATGTATTTCAAGGCAATACTTTAATTTTAATTGTGCTTATAAGTATAGTTTTCCTATACCTATGTTCTAAGTATATTATATTTTTTTAGTTTAATTGATAAGAGTACATTGTTATCTCGTCTTCTTTATATGTATTTCTTACTTTATTAAGAAATTGAAAGAAGCCATCATAATTTGACTACAAAATTGTATTCGTAAAATTTTCAATAAAATTCTAAGCTGAATAAACATTAGGAAATTTATTAATATTTTAATGAGTAGTTAGAAATAATTACCATAAATGGGAACAGGTTTGTAATAATGGTATATACAAAACAAGTAATTCGGTATCACAAACGCCTTCATATCTTTTTAAAGCCAACTCAGCCCTATAAAATAATATTATTTTATTAAAATTTTACTTTATTAAATAAATTCATTATTACCATTTATCAGCTGATTGATGAGGTACAGGAGATGTTGTACAAGCGGCTACCAAACGGCATAACAATAATAAAACTGGTCGAGAACGATCCATAAAAATTTTATTAAGTAAACGAAAACAATTTTCTAATATTGGAACGGCTACTTCATTTCTTCTTTCATCTAAATACATACATGCTTTATTTAATTCATGATCTTGTAAAAAGCTAACAAAATATTTCGAGTCCTTTAATGTTGTTGAGCCACTAATATAATCTAATAATGATTCAAAAGCGGAACTTCTTTCTGCGATCAAATCGGTAGAAAAGTTTCCTATTAAAACTTTTTTAGGGAAATAAATATTATTCATTAATTGAGGATGTTCACTTTTTAATGATAAAAATAGTTTTGCGAAATCTGTATAACGTCTTTCTATTAAAACTGGATTTGGATCTCTTTGTTCTACTTGTTGATGAATTATTAAATCATAAATTACATATCTCTTAACGGTTACATCTTCCCCTTCAGGTGGCATTATTTTTGCTTTTGATATCTCAAAATATGCTTTAGGTGAATTCATTGGAGTAAATCGCCTTCGATTTGGCCTTAACCAAATAACTGCACAAAATAACATATATAAAATTATAAAAATAACAATTTTAACAGCATACATATGTATGTACATATACATGAATAAAAAGTTTATACAATATTTATGCATTTTATGCAGGGTGTTCTGCCCAAGTGTTCAAGCTCTGAGGAGGTGATTTGTTGAAGTATTTTAGAAACAAACATGGGGGTTTTTTTAAAAATTTTGACTTTTATTTAAAAACATCTTCAACATCACTGATATACCGTTAGAAGAATATACGAAATACCGTTAGTTTCGAAATGATTATATACAATTTTTCATATTTTCGGAGTAATAAAAATGTAAAAATTAGAAGGTTTTCAGAAATTCCAGCTTTGAGGCTTCATAACTCGAGGACATTAAAACCAAATGTTAGTAGGTATTTTTTGTTCGTCTGGAGTCATCCTAGCACCCTACTGTAAGGACTATTGTTGGGTCTAAACCACCCTGTAACATATGTACATACATATGCTTGCAAGTTTATTTAAGTTACGCACATTCATTTTTCATATTTTCGTTAGATTTAATTGCTAATGTTCCCGTTTCAATACCTTCCGATGGGCTATCCAATTCATCATCATTTGAGCCATCGTTTGATCTTCTAGTCATAGCAGCTCGCACTAAAAATAATTTTAAATTATTTTCTTTGTTAAAAACAAAGAGTTTACCAGTGCACTCAGAATATTCACTTTTTTCTTGTTATTATTGCAATATTGTTACAAATAAAATAATTTATATAGTATGTAATTGAAACGGCGTTGTAAAAATAAAAAACGAACAAGGTTAGCACACAGAAAATACTAATTTATTGAAGTCAAAAAATTATTAATCCAAAAATTAAATAATATTCCTATATTTTGGTCATTTGTATTGACATTTCTAATTGATTACTAATTCAATTTTATCTACATAATGTATGAGCATTTGTATGTAAATACATATGTTTATATGAAAATGAAGGCCGTCGACCGTTTAGTTCTTTTGAAAACATGACAATATGGTGCTAAATACAGATTTCGCTTTTATTAATTTTTCGGTTTGAATCAAAAACAAGAAACGTAAAATAATAATCTAATAAAGGCAATTTATTGTTAAAAATGATCTTTTTCAAATTAAAGTAAATTTTATTTATGCAAAAATGCAAAAATATTTTTTCAGATTCATTCAAGTCTACTCAAAAAAATTCATTATTGTGAATTGCACACCCAACGGTCAAATACTAAACTAATTTTGAACAAATTGTGAATTTTTTACTTCTTTCAGAGTTTTGTAGTTTTGAAAGTCAAATAATTGTGGTTGTAGTTTATAAAATTGAAAGATGATTTTTATTTTGTGTTTATTAAATCTATTATTCTAATAGTTTTATGAATCCATACAATTATAGTCCGAAAGTTTTTGGAAAAAGATATTAAAAAAAACATTATTTAAAGGAAATTTTCAAATAGATTGCATTTAAAAGAATTATCAATTTGTTTTTTAATGGCAACTATAAGAATTCCAGAACAAAAAGTCATTTTATGTGGAGATTACGGAGTTGGAAAAAGTTCATTGTTTAGAAGTAAGTTGAGCGAAGAAAAAATTAAAAAATTACAATTTAATTTCACTTCTTAGTAATTTGAAATCAGTAAAAGTATCTAAACAACTGATAAGAGAAATATTTGGTAAATAAGAGATATTTAATGTTTTACATTTTATATATTAAAGTGAACAGTAGAAATTAATCAATGATAGGAATTGGAAACAACTATGCGTCAACTTGATTATTGAGTTTTTTCTTTTGATCATTTCTTGTAACTACTTATCTCACACTCAATTTTTTTTATTCATTTATACTAAATTAGTTCAAGTAAAAATACATAGTAAATAAAACTTTGTAATGTCTTACTATAAAAGGTTGTTAAACTTTATGCACCAATAGTTGAAAATATTAAGATAAGTGTCGATTTCATTTTAAAATTTTTTTTGAAAAATAGATAATAGTAATATATAGTACATTTTATGTATTCAAAAACTTCTGTAATTAATTCTTTTTTTAGGATTTGCGACTAATACATTCGTAACAGCCACAGATAGAAATTCCACATTAGGATTAGATCATATTCATAAGTTTTATACTTCAGAGGATAGGACAATACGAGTAAAATATCTATTAAATGTTTTTATTATTAATTTTCTATTACTTTTCTTTTTTGAATTATTATTCTAGCTTCAATTATGGGATACCGGTGGTATGGAACGTGTTGCTAGTGTTACATCGAGCTATTATAAATTTGCAGAAGGAGCTATTCTTGTATTTGCTTTAGATAATGAGACATCTTTTCATTCATTATCACAGCATTTATTAGATGTGGTTACATATGCTGAAAATGCAAAAATATTTATTTGTGGAAATAAATCTGATCTGGAACAAAGTAAACCTCAAGTCTCTAATAGTGATATTTTAGAATTTACTGAACAGTGTCAGAGCATGATAAGCTCTATTTATAAAACTTCATGTAAAACTGGTGAAGGTATCGAGGAAATGTTTCAAGATATTGCAAGCATTTTAATTGAATCTAATCGCTCCAAATTAGATTTACAAGCTCTAGAAGAGCAAAGCTTTAAAATTGATTCATTAGGAGAGGATGTTAAAGATCCAACATGTATTTGTTAGTATTTACTTGAAATAAAAAACAAAAAAAAAAAAGATTATTAATAATTTTAAGTGGTAAAAAAGAAAGCACCAAACCTAAAATTAAATAAAACTAAAATGTGTATGTTGCTTTAAAATTATTATTTACTTGTATTTAATATACAATTTTATATTGTTTTAATTTTATATTTTAATTAAATTATTGAATTGTTTATTAAATTTTAACAATGGTGTAGTGTTTTTAAATAAAACTGAAAGATTTTTTAATAAACATTCCTACTAGCCGTTTAAATATGAATATAGTTACATAAAAACTTAATTTTTCATCTTTTTTGTTTTTGAAAATTTCACGATTTCCTGGATTCCATCTTTCTGTTTTGTATGTTTTTATATAAATTTAGTCATCCCAATAGAATAACATTATTTAAGTGTTTTTTTGTTATTAAATAAAGCTTTTATTCACAAGAGTTTTAGTTTTGATTAAAAATTGTTACAAACAGCGAAAATCAAATATTTATCCAGAAATTATTCGCTAATTGCTAAAATCAATATTTGCTTAGTCTTTATCATATCTATTAATAAAATGGTCTTGAAAAAAGAAGCGAAAACAAATACGGACAAAAAAAATTTCGAGCATTTCAAATGTCAACAAATTTGTAAAATTATTGTTACAATCTAATGTTGGGACCATTTAATTGTTTTAATGTCGACACCTTCTTGTACCATTTCCCAAAGCGGTGACATTTCTCTTAATCTTTCGACATGTTTTATACATTTTTCAGCTGTATAATCAACTTCTTCCAATGTTGTAAAACGTCCAATTCCAAATCTGTAAACAAAAATAAAATTTTATATTGTTTTTAACTTTAAATTTCAGTGTATAACATACCTGATAGAACTATGTGCCAAATCTTCGTCTGCTCCAATTGCCCTCAAAACATAAGATGGCTCCAAAGATGCAGAAGTACAAGCTGAACCACTAGATAATGCAACATCTTTTAGTGCCATTAATAAGGATTCACCTTCAACATATGCAAATGATAAATTAACACAGCCGCTATATGTTTGTTTAGGATCACCATTTCGGATCACTTGTGGTAATTGAGATGTTATTTTATCTATTAATCTGTTAGATAAAAATTCTATCCATTTATGATCGTAGTCTATTTCTTCAATAGCCAATTGACATGCTTTACCCAAGCCTACAACTAAAGGGGCAGGTACAGTGCCACTACGTAAACCTCTTTCTTGTCCGCCACCACTTTGAATTGGTTCCAATCTAACACGTGGCTTACGTCGAACAAATAAAGCGCCAATCCCTTTAGGTCCATATAATTTATGACCTGATATTGACATTAGGTCAATATTCATTTTATTAACATCTATTGGAATTTTTCCAACTGCTTGGGCAGCATCTGTATGGAAAAACACTTTTTTAGAACGACAAAGGGCTCCAATATCAGACACGGGTTGTTTAACACCTGAATTAATTTTATTTTACTTTATTAGAATTAATATAAATTGCATAATTCCTACCTATTTCATTATTTACAGTCATTATAGACACCAAGGATGTTTCTGGGGTTATGCTTTTTTCTAGTTCATTCATATCAATTATACCATTTTGTTTGACTGGCAAATAAGTAACTTTAAACCCTTCATTTTCTAAAGCACGACATGAATCTAAAACACATTTATGTTCAGTTTGAGTTGTAATTACATGTTTTTTTCGTGAAGCATAAAATCTAGAAATAGAATAGGTATAGAAGTTTGTTTCATGTTATATAAAAATTTTACAAGAAAAGTTTACAAAATTGTTCATATTATTTATACTATTTGTGTAGACAATATACGTACTAAATCCAAACATTTAATTTACCTTGCAACGCCTTTCACCGATATATTATTTGATTCTGTTGCGCCAGATGTAAAAATAATTTCCCTTGGATCAGCTCCAATTAAGTCAGCAACCTGTTTTCTTGCATCTTCTACTGCTTTTTCTGTTTCCCATCCATAAGCATGAGTTCTAGAATGAGGATTACCAAATAAATTTAACATGTATGGTAACATAGCATCTAAGACTCTGGGATCCTAAAAAATGGTATGTTCAATTTGTTTAAATAAGAATTACATTGGCACAGATATATTCAATTTACCATCGGCGTTGTTGCCTGAGCATCTAAATATAAAGGTCTCTTTCCATCAAGTGTTTCATGCTTAATATTGAATTTCTCTTGATATGTTAAATCTGTAATGTAAAGATTTTAATATAGGAATATACATATTATGTATGTACATATATAGGAACTAATTTCCTTAGTTTATATAAGAATATATTTTTAAGGTAAATTATCTTAAAGGTGCTATAATCTGCAATTATCTATTTAATGGGAATTTTAGATAAGAAATTATTGTACACTTGAATTTTGTAGGTGCGTAAAATTATTATTATTGTTAACAAATTTACCTTGTTTACCTTCCGAATAATTTCTTACATTACAAACAATTTTATTATTAATTGCTTGATAAATATTAAAAACGTTTTTATTCGTCGTCGTCCTTATTGAAAATTTATTTAAAGATAATTTCATCATTATGAAATACCGAAATCAGAAAACTTTAATGATGTGACGACTAATTTTAATTTATAAATAATAACAAGCGCCGGTGTTAAATAGTGTGTTGTCTGACATTTAGAAATGTTATAAATGATATCATATATTATTATGTTAACATTAAGGAAATTTGAAATGTTGCGTTAGGGTTGAAATTGAAAATTGAATTATTGCGATCTCTGGCGGCGAAAAATTTAATTTTTTTAATTTGTTCAATATTGTGAATAGTTGAAATTGAGTTTATTGTGAAGTTATTTATTCCCACAATGAACTCATTTTTCACATTTTTCAACATAATTTGGAAAATAATCGTGTTGTATCGTTCTACACAATTCGTCCCTCCGTGCATGTTTACAATACTTCTAAACCCTTTAAGATAGAAAACTGAAATTTCGTATACAAACTGATACTTGGGAGAAATCTATTTCCCCTTCAAAAGATCAAAAGGACCAAATTGTTTTTTCCAACACGAAACTATTGAAACACGAACTTGTTGAAATTAATTATTATTTCAATCCTCTTTTTTCAAGTTTTAAACATTGTTTTTACACGTTATTCCAAGTTATTTATCACCTTCCAAAATTAACAAAATTTTACTTTTGGGATTCTTAATTTTTTAAGTATATTAAATATTAGAATTTTCTAAGATTCTCCTCCTATGAGACTTATTGAAAACCCACCTACTTTTTCTCGTTCATATTCAGATATGATATTTTCAGATATAAGATTTTGAAATAATTAAAAATATTTTTATATGATTTTTTATAAATTTTATATTCATGGAAATCAAGTTTTAATTAAAAATAATACTCGAAAATTTATAGCTGTCAGAATTTTTAGATATTCGAAGAGAAAACATGAGGATATAGGAATTTTGTGGAACTTATTTAAATTTCCCTTTAATTTTTACTCACGATGAAATTATTATTTTTTTCTCTTTAAATGATTCACAATATGTAAAATGTTTTTATACCGTAATTTCTTATTTTATAAAATAATTTCTAATATTTATATATCAATATGGTTTCGATTTTACTGCCAAATATTTTTAGTAAATTTTTATATATTAATAAGGTATGTACATCGGTACATACAGACCTAAACAAAAAGGAGGCTGAAGGAAAAAACAAAATCAAAATCATTTACTTTAAAGAGATCTAAAACTACAAACTTAGTGAATCTTTCAAACGACATGTTCATTATTTTCAAAACATGGAACATTAAATTTCTTAATATTTATTTTGATAGAATTAAGGTTTCTTATGATAAATAAGAAAGCGCCCTAGTTTAATACTGTGAATAAAAATTTTAAAAAATTTGAATGAAAAAGGTTTTGACGTTATAACGTAGAATATAGATTAACATTAACTTGTAGCTTCTACTACTGTTGCATATGCAATAAGTCTATGTAAATTAAAAACAGATATTTTGTTGATAGTGTTTTTGGCATAACAAAGTCAATATTTTGTTTTGTTTATCAAATGACAAATATACTTACATATTGTATCGTAATTTTTGTAGAATGAACTTTTAAATGCAATGACAGCTGGTATCAATCATTAAAATTGTGAATAATTGAGAGAGTTTTGTTTTATTACTGTTTCAAAAAAAAATTCCTCAAAAGTGTTTGGTTAAGAGAACCATTCTGTCTACAAACTGAAAACGATTTTATCTGTCTCTTATTCACAATAGCCACATTTTAACTCGGAAGGAATAGAAAACTCGAACGAAACAAGAAATTAAAAAAGTGTGTTTTTTTTTTGTTGGGATTCTGCAATTATTTTTAATTCTTTTTATTATGTAAAATAATTTAAATTTTATATATTTATTTTAACATTCCAAAATGTCCCTTATTGAACAATATGAGCAACAATATTCTGCTTTAATTGGTGAAATAACTGCAAATATTGGAAGAATAAATATCTATAATACAAGTGGTGTGTGCTATGATGTGATTCTCCATTACAAATTTCTTAAAAAATGAGTGTTGCAAAAACGAGCTAAGAATTTTTATTTTGTGTCTTTTATAGGTGCAAGAAAAGAATTAGGAACAAAAATTGATGCAAGTCTAGCTGAAGCAGAAGAATTGGTAAAAATTTTATAGTTATATTTTTGTTTTTTTTTCTTGTAAAAAAAAAAATTAAATTTGTAAAACACCTGGCGAAAATTCACGATAAAAAAATTTGAAGCAGAACCATTTTGCAAAAAAAAAAGTTTTATTTTGACACAATTAAATTTTTTTTTATTGTAAGCTAATCCGTCAATTTTGCATTTAAGCCACAACATAATAAAATTGAAAAGAATTGAAGGATATAAAAAAAGTTAAATTCATATATATATATATAAATATATATTGGGTTAATTATATATATGTTATGAAATTAAATTGATCAATAAGTTAATCAATTTAATCGAGAAAGTATAATTTTATAAAAATTCGAAATGGAACTGTTATGTACCGAACAAGTAAGATTAAACGAAGAATTGGATACAAAAAAGAACCAAAATAACGGATTAACACGTTATGTTACACCATCAAAAACAAATTTATTATCAGCCGTAGTAGATCCAACATTTTTAACCGACCGGTGTCTAGAAAATCTTTTAAAAAGCGAAGAAAAATTTATAGTTTCATGTTCATATTTCAAAACAAGTCATATTACGCCATTAATGCGTAAAATTGTCGCTGAATGGATGATGGAGGTATGTGAAGAAGAGAAATGTCAAGAAGAAGTCGTATTATTAGCATTAAATTATATGGATAGATTTTTAAATATAACTCCAATTAAAAAAACCCATTTGCAAACTTTAGCTGCCGCATGTCTATTATTAGCATCAAAATTAAGAGAACCAAGTTGTAGAAGTTTAACAGCTGAATTATTAGTATTTTATACAGATAATAGTGTACACAAACAAGATTTAATACATTGGGAATTATATGTTTTAAGTAGATTAAAATGGGATTTATCTACAGTAACACCATTGGATTTTTTAGAATTATTATTAATACGCTTACCAATTAGAAATAAAAAATGTCCAGATATTAGCACTGATAAAATACGTTTGCATGCACAAGCTTTTATATCATTAGCAGCAAAAGAACATTATTTTTCTGTTTATTCACCAAGTGCTATAGCATGTTCAAGTATAGCTGCTGCATTACATGGTTTAAATTGGGATTTAAGAACTGGTATAGATTTTCAATTCTTATTAAATCGTTTAACAGATTTAACTGGTGTTGAACAAGATTTTGTAAGAAGTTGCATGGCTAAAATGGAAAAAATTTTTGAAGAACATAGTCGAAATATACAACAAAGTTTAGAATTAAATGCATTTGAAACACAACACTTAAAACAAGTAAATGAATTTGATTGTCGGCATAGCGTTACTAGTTCAGAATCCCTTTTAACAAAGGTATCTTCTGATTTATCTCAAGCATACAAAGTTCATGTTTATACCCATGAATAGTCAATTTGAAAAATTTGTAAAAAAAAATTAAAAACAAAAATTAAAAACATAAAAGTAATATTTACTAATATCAAAATAACAGAAAAAAAAAAATAAAAGAAAATTGTTTTCTAATGATTCGAAAAGAGTACATAAGTTAAGTTAAAGTTAAGCAAAAAAAAAAAAAAGGATAGAAAAAGAAAAGAAAATAGAAAAAAAGAAAAGACTTTTACATGTAATGTTCTATATTATAATTAAGTTTAAATTTATGCATAATTTTGTTTACACTTACATTTAGTCTTAAATTTTAAGTTTAAATACTATTTAAGGGCAACTTAAACAAAAAATTTTTACATACATATATACATTTATACATATATATATGTATAACATTTATTAAAAAAAAAAACATTTACCTACATAAATATTCGCATTTTTATACATTTAATTTTTCATTCATAAATAGGCTAAATATTAAAGTTTTTCTGTTTTCGAATTATACACATATGTAAATTGTTAAAAAACAAAAATTAAAACACTGTTCACTTAAGACCTATTATTTTTTTTTTTTTGTAAATTTTTATTAAATTATGGTAAAGTTTTATTAATTGCGTTAATTTTATTAAAGGTTATTGTATATTAATAATAAAATAATTAATATTTTCTATATTAAGTAAATTTTTTCTTTTGTTCAAACTATCAATTTTGTACATGATAACTTTGTTCATGTTTTATTTTTCTTTTACTTTTTTTTGTTTTATTCTAGTTTAAGTTCAATTATTTTATCAATATTAACGAAGATAACAATTTCGCAATATATACAATAAAATTTTATTATTTCACTAAAATTATTATTAAATTTTTTATATTTTAAATAAAGATGTTTTGAATTTTAAAATTGTTTTAAAATTAAACAATAGCGATATTTGTACTAATTAATTATCAATAGAAAGTTTCACATAATATTTAATAAAAAATAAATAAATAATTGAAGGCATTAAAATCGATTATCATTAACTAAATAATACATTATTTTTTCTATGTTTAAAATTAAATTTTTTGTTAATTATATATGTATATATATAAAAATGTAACTTCTTCAGTATATAAATTGAAAAAATTATTTTGTTATATTGAGCTTAGAATATTACAATATAGTAGTTAACATCTTTAAAATATATAATTAAAGTAAATTTTATTGAAAAATTTTATGATAAGAAAATTATTGAAAAATTATACATATTGTAATTGATTAATTTGATTCATTAACTTTTTGAAATTGCAATGTTAAGTTGTAGAAAATAACAATTCATTTTAGATTCAAATAATAATTCAGCCTAAAAGAATTTTGTATGCGAAAACAGAAATCACTTTAAATTATAAAAGTACATGCATAGTACATAATAAATATATTATCAATAAAAAATAAAATAAACACACAATAAAAAAAAATTAAAATATTAGTAAAAAAAAAAAATATTGCATATGCAAATATTTTATAAAAAAATGAAAATTAAATAAAATGCTTACATCATAAAACAATATAAAAATTATTTTAAAATATTGGATAAATAAAAATGTACTCTAAGTTCATAATATATATTTTTTTTTTAATAAAACGAAAAATTCGGTGCTCTTTTTAAATACAAAACATAATAGCCTAGCATTTAAAAAAATTTGTGCTAATTTTTTGATTTGTAATTTTTTTTTTTTTTAAATATCTTCTTTTTCAAATAATTTAAAAATAAAAAAAAAATTATATTTTTTTTTCTTTTGTTTCTTAACGTATTTGATTCATATGTATATTTATATATATATATACATATACATTAAATATAGTATGTAATATATATATATATATATAATTATATATATATATATATATTATTATAAAGGCATACATAATTTTTTCTGTCAACCTGTTAGATTTAATGTTGTAAATGTTAAGTTTATGTTTAAACATAATAAGTAAAATGTTATGTATAAAAAAAAAACAAAAAGGAAAGAAAACAAAAATTAATAATAACAATGCTAATAATAATAATAATAACAATAACAATAATAATTATTGCGATTAAAATAGTAGCCTAGATTTTTTTTTGTGAATATATTTTTTTTATCTGATAAAAATGAACAAATTGTGTTTTTCAATTTCTTTTAATCATCTTTCTACATATTATGTACATATACAGATACAATATATGTTAAATATATATTGTTTATGAAAAGAAAAATAAAAACAAAAAAAAAAAATATTAAGAAAAGGGAACAAGACCACCTAACTGATGATGAAACCTCTCTAATTTGGACTTTAAGGAATGAAATGTATACACATAAACTTTGCATACATATATATAACATATGTATAAGCTTAATTTTGCAATAAAATCAAGCAAAAATAAAGAATAAAAAATTTAAAAAATACAGAAAATAAATGTAAATGAAAATATAATAATAAAGTTAAGAGTGGCATCAACAAAACATTTGCAAGAAAAAAAAAATCCAGGTAAAATTAAAAGGAAAAGAAACTAAACTGAAGATATTGGAGCGAAGGACTGATTGTCCAACGCTATAAATATAAACGCTAGTAAATTTTATAGTGGAAATCTTAAGGAAAAAGAGTAAGTTAAAATGTTGGTAATGTTGTTGAGATCTATTGCGTTTTTTTTTTTTCAATTAATTTTTTTTTTTTTTTGTAGTTGTTTTTGTTGATAAAAATAATCAAAAGATATCAACAATAGTTCAATTTTCTATTAAAAATGTAATAAATTCATATCTCTTTTTTTTCTTAAAAAAAAAAAAAAAAAATTTTAGTAAATTTTAAATATTCTTTTCAAATTTTACTATGTTGTTGCTTCTTAAATCATATTTTAAAAAAAAATACATATATAATTATAAAATTTATATTATGTATTCGAAAAAATTAGAAAAAAAAATAAAAAAAAGCGTTTAATCTGTAATAAGAAAATCTACTTAGTATCTACTTAGTTTTGTTTAGAACAGTAACTAATATTAATTTTATAACATAAAGTATTCTTTTTTCTTGAAATCTTTCCTTTTATTAATTATTTTTTCTATTCTAACATAAAAAGAGGATTTTCGAAAATTCAGTTCTAACTTTGATCTTAATACAAAGCGTGTTCGATACTACCAAATTTTCAAAAATTAGCATGGTTGATAAATTTTTATTGTAAAAGAAGCACATTCGAAAATCTTAGCATCCTTAAAGTTATAAAGCATTTTTGTATGTAGATTTTTTTTAAATACTGAAAAAAATATTTTAAATTTAAGAAAAATCGCGTAGAAAAATGTAAAATATTAAAAATTTTAAAACGTAAGCCTCTAATAGTTACTCGTAGTTCACGTAGATCTGTAATGATGCAAAAAGTTTTTTAAATTTAAATGTCTATCTGAATAATCGAAAATCCTCAAAATTTGTATAAATAGCAAATGTAATATTTTTTTTCTTAAAGAAACGATTGTAAAATTTTATTTAATTGAAACTAACAGATTTTATAATAATAGTTAATAATAACACCCATATTCTTTTAGTCGCATCATTTGAGTTGATGAGATATTATAGAGAATTATATAGAATTTCGAATTTCGGAATTTATTTTAATTAGAAAATTACGAGATTTTTCAAGAAGAACCCGTCACGTCAAGTGATGCGACTAACAGAAAATGGGTAAAGGTATGCAGATAATATTCTTTTCTATATACATACATAAATATATGGAGGGTTTATTTTTAAAGGGACCTAGCTCTATTTTAATAAAAAATGAAATATTGTGCCCGTTTCGGGTATAAAATAACCAAAAATTCGATTAACTTGTTAGTTGCTTTATAGAACATTTATTTTCTTGTCCAATTAGATACTGTAGTTTGAATTTCAGCTCTTCATATTCTAACATTTGAAATTGTAAATGGGGTTAGGTTATTTTTATTTATTTAATAGGAATATATTTTAAAATATTTTTTATTTATATACTGAACTGTAATAGTTCAATCCCAAATTGACGATAACACAAAATTTTATGATTTGTGATAAATCGAGCACAATAATTTCAAAATATTGTGTTTCATCATGTGCTAGTATATTAACCTAAATAAAATTAAAAGAACAAAACTAACAAAATGAAAAAAATTAAACAGTTTGTAAACACCTTTATCATTTCAACTTTTAACTGCCATTACTTTTTTCTTATAACTTCCTCATTTTTTTTTTTATTCTTTTTTTTCTGTTAATTTCTTTTTTCATAATAATTACATACATATATATTTTCATTTCCCATTTAAATTGTCTACCTATCTGTTCTCTCAACTCCAAATTTTCAATGCAAGTAGTAAAAATAATAAAAAATTATTATAGTAGGTAATGTAGCTATAGTTTTCTTAATATTCAGTTGAATTTTCTATGTGTAAACTCTACTTGTTTGTATTGTTGTAATAAGAAATCGAGCAAGGATTTCGTTTCTTGTATGGCATTAATTATAATGTAAATATATCAAAAGTTACACACACATAGACATTTTAAACAGAGGCAAATGTGTCACATTTTTATGCATCTACAAACATACATATGTATTATATACCCCTAACCTGTGGTAATTTTTTTTTTAAGTTTAATTTTACCTTATATTGCACAATAAGATCGAATAAAAGAATAAAAATCGAAGACGAATAAAATTAAATGAGTAAAAGAAATAAGGTAAACTAAACTGTACAGAATGGACTTATTAATTTTATGCAGCTGTAAAAGAAATATGCAGCTGTTATTTATTTTACGTGTACAGTCAGTCACAAGTCAAAAGATATTTTTCTTGTTACTCGTAAAAGATTTTTATCCAATTGTACTTATAATATAAAAAATTTAAAATGATTGGATCTTGGGTGTATGGTTAAGTTTCTTTAAAAATTTTGATAGTTGTTTTTCTTCACAATTCCTTTTTAATTTTTTATTTTTTCTTAGTTTTGTAAATAAAGAAGGAAAGGGAAATTTTAACTAAGCCAATTTTTTGGTCGAGTATTACGTGATAAGATATGGTATAAAAATATTTTATAAGCAATGAAGAAATATATTATATTTTATACCATTCTTTACTAGTCTTTAAATTAGCCTAAATATATGCAATGTTAATTATGATGAAATTTTTGTAAGATTTACGCCTATGTGGAAACTATATGAGTTTTATTTTCGTTAATTGATCGTTTATATTTTTGACAGAAACAAGTTAATAATTCAAAAATCAAAAAAGGCATAAAGAGGGTTTTTAAAAAGGTATTGGGACATTATTTTTATTCTATTAGATGTATTGATTCTTACATATTTATTCTTACATATTTTTTCAAAAATTCAATAAATTTTGAAATAGGTATGTAATTAATTAAATTGTCATTTTGTGTTTCGAAGAAAACGTTGAACGGTGTTTGTACAATCCTGCAGAATTTTATCAAACATGGTCATAAATTAATTTTCTAGTTAACATTTTTCAAAAGATTTTTCATTTCAAATAATATTTTTAAATTTCAATTTACACCATAGACAAAGAAAAAATAGAAAAATTTAAAACAAGGCATCTATTTTAATTAAAATATTTGTGACCTGGGCCTATATAATTCGATTATTGTGAAAAGCATTTCGTATACGGAAAAATGACAAAGTAGCACTAATCAATTTTTATGGCATTACCTTTTATTTTCATCAAATACGAAAATCGAATTACATAGTAAGGTCCGAGTTTCTAATGAATTTTGATCTCTTATATGTTCCACTGAATTATAATTCGTACTTACATATATATGTCTATGTATACTTGTTAAACTTAAATGCTATTGATATTTTGCTTTCAATTTGTTAAAAATTATTCTTATTATAAAAAATTATTAAAATATTTATTATTAAATAAATGTGTGTATATATATACTTACATATTAAATTGTAGATTTTAACAAAATAACCGCAATGTAAAATGTACTATGAATTGAAAATTTTGTATATAAACGAAAAAAAAAAAATAGGCGTTTTGAAAATAAAATTTTAAAATAATATTTTTAAAATATTTTTTTTTTATTAATTTTATAATATTAATAAAATTTTAATAATTTTACAGTTAGAGCAAATCGGATTAGAAATACGTGATCAAGATCCAGCAGCTAGAAATATTCTTAATAATAAATATAAATGTTATCAAGCTGAATTAAAACGTCTTGCAGATGATTTCAAAAAAACTAAAGATATTGCAAGACAAGGCACAGCATTCGATTTAATTGATGATAATGATGATGTTGTTATATCCGATGATCAAAAACAACGTTTATTAGATAATTCGGAAAGGATAGAACGTACTGGTAATAGATTAACTGAAGGTTATCGTATTGTTTTAGAAACTGAGCAGATTGGTAATCAAGTATTACAAGATTTACATCATCAAAGGGAAACTATAGAAAATACTAGATCAAAAATACGTGAAACAAATGCTGATTTAGGACGATCATCTAGAACTCTTAATTCAATTATGATGAGAGCATTAAGAGAAAAATGTATATTATATGGTGTTGGAGTTATTTTTTTAATTATTGTTACAATAAGCATTTATTTTTCTATTTCAAGCTCAAAGAACTGATTTTTATCTATAATGGTTTGTGAAATAAAAAAAAAAAAAATAATAATAATCAAACAGTTAAAATAATGATTTTAAAAAGCCTTTTAAAATATAATGTTAAAAATTGTTTATTTTAAAAAATCACAAATTTGAAAATGTTATAACAATTATTATTATAAATATCGCTTGTATAAATTGGAAAAAAAATATATATATATATAAATATACAATTTTAAAAAAATTTAAACATATAGACATACATATATTATTTAAAGGTTAATATTAAAATTAAGAGTATGGATTTTCTTTCCTTAAATAATTAAGATAAGCTACGCATATATTCAATTCTTGTCATGTGATAGATTTTGTTTTCTTATTGAATACAAGTATTTGTCTATAATTTTTAAATATTTTGGAATTTTTTGGCTCAGAATTTAAAAAAAATAATTTAACTTTTAACAAACTGAACAAAAATTAATTACTTTTCAACAATGAAGGCACAGTGTTTTTAATATTTCCTGCTATGTGTAGGTATATCATAAAACAAGACCCAATTCACGTTCTACAGTTACACCTGGTGTTTAATTTTAGATTTTGAAAAATAAATAGACTTCAATAAATGATAGCCAGGATAAGATTTAATCAGTTTTCAAATACATAGTATGTATTTTTATTATTTGGCACAATTATTAAATTTAATTATTCTAATTATAATAAAAGCATATTTTAATAGCTTTAAAGAAAAACGGCTTTAACGAAAACTCAACATGTACTTTAAATAAAACCTTCACAAAATAATGTACAAATTTGACTCAAAATTTTAATTCAAAGTGTAGAATTCCTAAAAACATGAAAAGGCAAAATAAAATTCAAAAAAAAAAAATCTACTAAATAAATTTTTTAACCAACCAATAACCAATATTTAAATGTAAAATTTACATAATAAAATTCAATATCTATTTGATGTAAAATTAAAATATTTTTTCAAAAATTGTTCAACATATTGTACTATTTGGTTCTTTTTAGAACTGGAATTTAAACGTGTTTTTATTAACCAATAAGCTGTCACAGTAAATACTATATAAAAACAAATTAATGCATAAATTGATGTCAAATAGTATGCTTCTTCTAAACCAATAATTTTTAATAAAGTTTTTGATTTTCTAAATAAACATATAGTTTCTTCATCTGGACATATTGAATCCGGACGATTTTCATATAATGCTGCCATTATACCCAATATACTATGCCGTAAATAACTTGTATTCATTAAAATTGTTATATAGAATGGTACTTCTTTAATGCCAAAACCAAAACCATAGCCAGCTAATATAATCATAGGAGCAACACTAGCTGGTCCAATAAACTGACCATTCTGAAATATTTAAAAAATAAAAGGATATTATCCAAATAAATTTACAAAAATTTAGTATATACTAACCACCATATTAAATCTTGATCCAATAACATAACCATAACTATCTGATACTAATCCAGTAAGTATTGCAACAGAAAACATTTTTCCAAATCTCCATAATTCTAATGGTTGACTTGACATAACATAAATTATTGTTAAATATATTGTAGCAATCAATAACATAAATGGAATTCGAGCTACTATTAAAGCTAAATAATAAGGTCCCAATTTATACCATTGATTAAAATGTTCCCTTTTTAATAAATGAAATTCTGCAGGAACTTAAATTATAAGTAAAAGAAAAATTACAAAAAAAAGGGAAAAACACAAACTTTAAATTCTACTAACAGGCAGCTAAAACCGGCATCATCGGTAAATAAACAAAAGAGATCATAATAGCAAAAGCTAATCCATAATTGAATAATGCTTTTGTTGCATCCGTACCACTACCTTCATATAGACAACCCAATAATAAACCTAAAGTTAGTTGCATTCCAAATTTTAATTTCATATAACTCTAAAAATTGATAATTTCCATTAAGGTATTTTTAACGTTTTATATAAAAGTATAAAGATAAAAACCTTATCACGCCACATTCGAACTAACATTCTTTGTAGTAATATGAAAAATTGTTCCCACCAACCAGATTGGCTACTTAATGAGCTTTGATTAATTTCCATTTCAAATTTTTCCAAATTTTTATATTGATCATGAATTTCATTTGCCGACGAATTTGGTGACCATCGAAGTTTTCCATTCTGTACTATAGTTATCATTTTATCTATATGATCGAAACCATATTCTCCACATGATACTTCAATTACTGAAAATAATTAATTTTATTTTATTTAATTAAATAGTATAATTTAATTTTTTCATTTGATTTAATATTATCACACTTACTGAAATCTGCTGGATTATATGTTCTTGGGCAAGGTAATCCAATATTTTCAAGATATGGCAATACATTACTGCTGAGACCTTGATAAATACATTGCCCTTGACTTAAAACATAAATATTATCAAATGATCTAAAAAGAAAATATAAAATGAAAATTTTGTTAAAATTTTTTTTTCTAATTATCACTGCACTGAAAAATTTTTGCTGATGGCGTATGAATTGAACATATTACTGTTCTACCAGCATGTGCTATTCTCCTTAATAAAGTTATACATTGAGAAGAAGAAAGATCATCTAAACCACTGAAATTTTTATAAATTTATCAAAATTAATATTTATTTAAGAAAATAATAATTGTTACGTTGTTGGTTCATCTAAAAATATCACAGGTGGATTATCAACTAATTCCATTGCAATTGAAAGTCTTTTCTTTTCACCTCCTGATAATCTTGTACCAAGAGTATTTTCTGCTTTACTTAAACGAAGATTTACTAATATTTCATCTATCTGTAAATAAAATTTTTATATTCTGTAAAATTTTAATTATTTTCATATTTAAATTTAATGTTTTTCATTTTATAATTATTACAATTCTATTTTTTTCTTCTATAGATAATTTACTTCCTAATTTTAAATTAGCTGATAACATCATAGCTTCCCTAACTGTTACAAATTCATCTAATTCTTCATGTTGCATTATAAAACGTGACATTTTACGAAATATTTTTGTTTGACGTGGTTTTCCATTTATATTAATTTCTCCTGAATTTGGTTTAGTTCTAAAATAATAAATATAAATTTTTTTTAATTAAAATATATTTAATAATATTTATTATTAAATATTTTACTTGTATTCTGCTAATAGATTCAATAAGGTAGTTTTTCCACATCCAGATGGTCCTAATATCGCTGTTAATTCATTTGATCGGAATTGTCCGCTAACGTTATTAATTATAGTTTTATTTCCTAATTTTATCGATAATAATAGATAAAGAAAAAATTTAAAGTTAGTGAAGATTCATATTGTATGAACGTGTAACAATGAATAGCTTATATTTTGTTCAAATCGAAAGTCATGAGAGAAAACTAGCTTTTAATATATAATAAATTACCTTTTTCAAAGGATGAAGGTACCGTGTAATATAAATCATTGAAATCTATATTAATTGGTGGCCATTCCGGTAAATGCTTAAGTTCTGAATTATTTGGATTCTTCTGTTTTTGTTGCATCTTCTTATTTTTTATATAATTATTATTTTTTAATTCAGAATTATTTCGAGATTTTACATCAGAACTTGTTACATTCGAAGTCATTTTTTATTTTAAAGGCACTATACGAGTATATAACAATTTATTGTCAAGCTTTGAAATGTTGCCGTTTTATAGCATTTTTAATTCTAAGTTTAATTGGGAAAAATGAGCATGTTATCAATTTTGGTTAAATCTGAAAATAAAATTTAGTTATTATTAAAATTAAATTAAGTATTCATACGCCATTTCTTTATTATATCATAATATATGTACAATTAATGTGTATGTATATATACTCATATATGTAACGAAAATGTGTGCTTACGTTGGGGTATTTTGTTTGGGATTTTGTATGTTAAAAATACCTTAAAATTTTTTCACGTTTTATTTTTTTTAATCAGTTTCAATATTAGAATTTTAATAAATTTTTTCTTTTCATGAATAATTAAACAATAATGATGTACAATTTTCGGAAATAAAAAAAATAAAGATTTTTTTTCGCATTTTTAAATAATTATTGTGAATGTTAATTGCTATTTTGATTTTTATCAAAAATGAATTCATAGCCAAACTCAGAAACTATTAGATTTTCATTTCAGTAGCACAATTTTTTTTTGGTAATTAATGTTAGACTTTTAATTTAATATCTTCGGATTCATCTGTCATAATTGTCATTTCATCAATTATATGAACCCGAAATTGAACGAAGTTTTTTTCTTTATTCAAAATTTTTAGATTTACGTAAGGGTATTTTTAAAATTTTTGAAATAACATCGAATTTATCCAACTTATTAAGTCTATTGTCAATTGAACTAGAATTGTTGTTTTTTAATTAGTATCCGAATTCAGGTTTCGTATGTACGAAATTTTCGGAGAAAAAAAAAATGAATTTCTTGATATGCATAAGATTATTTTTCAAAAAGTGGTTTACGAAATTTGGGACTTAGGTTGCGCTTGGCGCTAACTTAAAAAAATTCAAAATTAAATTTCGGCAAGAGCGATTTTTCAAGATTTTCCTACAATTCAATTTAAAATTAAATAAAATTAAAGATTGTTAAAATTTTTTCAAAACATTAGGTAGATTAATTTCGGTTCATTTCTGAAGGTTGCGGTTATTCAGATAAGAAATGAATTATGAATTTTAATTTGCAATGCTCCAAAATTTTTAGAAAAAACTTCAAGTCTAAAATTCTTTATCAATTATTTAGTATTGTTTAATATTTAATACTAATAATAATTTCGAAGATTTTATTTACAAACATTAACAAAAAAAAGTACATTTTGTAAAGATTGCCTTGTTAGTATAGAAATCGATCAACATCCGAAAAAAATTTAGTATGCTATAATGAAAAAGCTCTTAATGTACCGAAATTAAAACATTTTTCTTTACCTATAATATTAATAATCAACTGAATTAACCTGAATTGACCTAAAATCAGCATATTTTTAGATATTTTAATATAAAACAAATTTAAGTACATATACGTATGTATATATATATATATAAATGTATGTATCTGTGTGTATTCACCATTCAATTTAATTGTTTTTACTATTTTGGAACAAAATTGTTTTATTTTCGGTACAATTACCGCAATTTTTTTTTTATCTTTCTTTAATGGCTATTATTGTTTGAGTGGTTAAGTTCATATGCATGAAATACACTCAGTAAAAAAGGTAATCTGGTTAATTGAATATGGGTACTAAATAAAAGAACAAAAGAAAAGAAAGAAAATATTTATTGAATAAAAAATGTGTTCCGCCTTACCAGCTTACAAATTCTATTGATTTTTTAAATTTTTTATTTTTTCTTTTAACATTCTCTTCGGATTTTCTTCTAAAAACCATTTATCAACATTTTATTAACATTTTGTACAGCTTCATTTCTGTATAGGAATAAGAAGAAATTAACTTAATCGCAGTTATGTCCAGTAGTTTGTAGTAGTTCGATCTGTTCAAAGTTTTAAGGAAATTTTTAAAAAAATTCATTAAAAACTTTGAATTTTGAAAAATTTTTTAAAATAATACAAAATACGGAGATTTAATGTCGATTTGACTTGTTTAGTCGCACAATTTTAATTGGTGTATTTTTAATTGCTAAAGCTAAAATTTGCAAGATTTAGTGCTTTAATTTTATTGAAGTACTCGGAAAATTCAATTAAATGTGCTAGGACATTTCGATTTTGATTTGACTTAGGTAATTCTGTCTTATTACCTAATTCGAATTCAGTACCTTAATTTTATTTCGATTTTGTTTCGACTTAGGTAGTTTCGCCTTATTACCACAGATATATTTTGTTCTCCACAGATCATATTCTCAATCTCAATTGCAAAATAAATTTTTTTTACAGTTATACAATACTATGTTATACTCTACTACTAGTTTTAATCGTAAGCGCATGTACTTCAGCTACATAAAAAGAGCATAATAAAAAATTGAATTAACTTGGGAGCTTTAGTCTTTTTTTTTTCGTTGTCTTTTCTTGTTTTTCCATATAAAAATTTAATGTAAATTTTATGAACTACGAATATGAGTATGTATGTATGTATGTAGCATAAAGGAATGATAATGCATAATATCAGCATTGAAATTATAACAAAAGTCAATGCCTATATAATTTAAACTTGATATATAAATAATACTACTAAATTTTTGTGGTTATTGCAGATGTGGGTTACAATAAAATTTCGTATATATATAAAAACATAATAGATAACTATACAAATATAGTTGTAATTTTGTTTATGGTAGGTATACCGAATAAGATTGATATTCTTGATTGGTATCATAGAAAAACTAAATATACTTATAGTGGTAATGTTTGATTTCATCTGGCATGCAAAATTACATAAATAAATTGCAATTTACAAAAGCATGATTTTATAGAAAAAAAAATTGTACCGGTTATATAAGGATTATGTTCACCGAAATCTCTCTATATAGTGCATATGTATTAGTAATTAATGAAATAATTTTTATTTTATATAGATTGCTGATGTAAAAAGTATCAAATTGTAGTCAAAGTTTCAATCAAAATTTAAGAAACAACTTATGTATGTGATGCACTTTGTACATTTTTAAAATTCTATAAAATAGTGTTAAGACAAGAGTGACGAAACAATTCAAATTCCATTATAAAGATAATTAAAGTGTCTATCTATCTAAAATATAAGCATAGTGATTTTAATTCACAATAAATAATTAAATTTATTGATTACAAAATTTTATTGCAAATTTGTTCTATATACATATATACTGAAGAAAAAGGTATAATTTTGTTGTGATAAATTAAAATTACCGTTGTAATTTTTCAGTGTATAATAATACGTGAGCAAAAAATATAAATTATTCGGTCTAAACCACTGGTTAATGAAGAAAAATATTCAAATCGATTAAGGATTTGAAAGTATTTTTTGTTTGTTTTGAAAATAAAACGTTCTGTCTACATTATATGCTTAATAAAAAGTGAGTCAAACCAATTGGCTGTAAAGAAGCACTTTCTTCTAATGTGCAAATGAAAATACCGCTTTCTAAACATTCTACGATATTATTAAAGTTAATTAAATAACAAAATATATCGATGTTTTACACACATTCAGAATGAGCAAAAAAGAAAATTTTAAAGCAGCCGTAATGACTGAATTGCACGGTTAAGTTATCAAGTGAACAAACATCATTATACTTTTTGATGGAAAATTAAATTTGGAAAAACTGGTAGTTTCGGAAATATATAGAGTCAAAATTTCAAATTTTACGAACTTCGAAAGGTGACATCTTGAGAGGGATTTGAAGTGGAAAAACATTTTCTTCTAATGCTGTAAATTATTAAGAGAGCTAAAAGTGGCGGTCTAAAAGAAAAACAATATCAAAAATTTCAAACAAAATGCGTCTTAGATAACGGCTAATTTTAATGGCCATCAATGTTCAGCATCGCACATTACGGCGATAGAAGAGTCGTGTCGCTACCTATATTTATACGTTTGCGAACTTTGAAAAATTTTTGTTGTTTTATTACAATAAATCTAAAAAAGAATGACATTTTAGGGGCTTTAGGTAAAAATGTTCTTCTTGAAGAAATAAGTTTTTACTAAAGATTTATTTGTATATAAGATTTCAGCTTTCTGTGGTAGCATATCAGCTTATTCTATCTCGAATTTTACTTTTAAAGAAATGAGCCACCGAAAATAAAAATTTTGTTTATTCTTGATAGGTTCAATTTCAAAAAAATAAATGATTTTTATTTTTGCACGAGACTGTTTAAATTAGCAGGCTTCAAAAGTAACTGTAAATTTAAATACAGAATAGATATATAACAATTTTAGTCAATTTTTATTATTTTTATTTTTTTATCATCTATAAATTTTTTAATATATAGTTTTTTATGAAACAATATTATAACTGCATTTCATTATTACAACAAAAAAATTTTCTCATATTAATAAATATTTTTATAGTATACTTTATTTTTATAGCATGTCATTTAATAATGTCTGCGCCATCTACATATACATATGTATATTATTAAATCTACACATTATGTAAATAATTTTGCGCTATAATCACGCTATGTCCTTGTTTATATTTATTATATAGTTAGTCATTCTGATGTAGCAAATTTTCGACAAAAAATAAAAATTCATATATGTATAACGAAAACATGAAAAATTTTGTAATATGCGTTAAGTCATTATTCAAGAATAGCCTAGCACCTTAAATAGCAAGCTTAAAATATTTCACATAATGTATAAAATTTATGTTATGCGTGTGTGTATAGAATTACAAAATAATAATGATAACCTTATGATGCAACTTTTATTGTTTTTGTCTACAATTTCGAACAATAAACTTCATTTTTCCATATACTAAGTACCTATAATCATTAAGCATAAAATTCGATTTGCCATAACTTTATGATTTATTTAAAGAAAGGAGTACTTTTTGAGTGTTTAGTAAAAATTGCCAGTAATAATAATATATATTTTAATTAATTTTAATTTTATGCTTCTTTTCTTATACATTATGTATATTATAATTTGGTTTTAAATTTGTATACAAACTTCAAATTAAATTTGTCCTAAAATTATGAGTTTTGTTTTTTATTTAACTTTTGAAATCACATTCTAGTTTTATTATATATGTTCATTTGTTTATTAAATGTCTAAGTATAAATAACTAGTTTTAGTAGTT